GCTCCTATGACAACGAGTCAAGTATGGTGCCAAACACATTGACACAGAGTTATAGGTTGTTAAGGAGAAAGTCCGGAATTATGTTGAAATGCTTGGAGCATGAAAGCAACAGACAAGTATTTGCAGATCTGCTTATTAAAGGCTTACCGCCCAGTGTGTGCGACATGGGTTTTATGGTATAGCTAAGATTTCCGGACAATAAAAGTGCCCAGGGTTAAAGAATCTGTTTCAAAACAGAGGAGTGTGTTGTAGGTGTTGATTCTATCGGGAATGAACCGTGATGATGAGACATGCCCTACATGCAAATCTGTGATGGAACGAGTACTTTGAAAAGAGTTATTTCAAAGTATAAAGTTAAAAGTATATGTTGAGATCAAGGGGGAGAATGTTAGATTGATCTCTCCTCCAATGGGCCCAACGGCTCATTGGGCCCTTGACCCACGCCCTGATCGGGGGCGTCCAGCCCAAGCAAGGCTAGTGGGCCCCTGTCGCGCAGTGCTATAAAGAGGAGGTGGGGACCAGGGCACAGGGTACGAGGTTCGTCGCCGCCACTGTTCCCCACTCCTAACCCTAATCCGATCCAGAGGGAAGCACTGAAGCGATGGGAAGCGCCACCAGCCACTTCACCATCGACCTCTACGCCGAGCTCCCATCCGTTCACCACCGGCACCGGGAGCTCCTCGAGACAAGGAGAAGGTAATCTCCTCACGACACCGTCAGTCCTAGCTACCCGATCCCACAGTCTCCTATCACCTTTGACTATTGACAAGATTAATAGCACATGAGATGTATACTATGAAAATTTGAAAGTATGCTTTGTGTAAGTTACATGTCATATATTATTGCTCTAACGCTTGGTCAAAGTTAGCCTTAAAAAACGCATTAGGACCTATATAGATGGAAGGAGGGAGTATCATATTTTAGAATTTAAAACTCATTACTTTCAGGCGCTTTATTTAATTTTTTTCCCTGAATGATCGATCGTCACGGAACCAAGATAAGAAAGCAAACCATTTAGCGGCCAGATCTTAACATGGAATGATACTAATGTACACAGAGAACGCAGATGGTGCCACAATGCCAGGGCAATGTTAACAAAGGAAGCAACCAACCAAGATATCTTTTGCAGGGAAATGTAGGAAGAACACAATCAGGTGTTACAGGATATGAGGTGGACAACCAGATCTTAGCTCGAGCGGCAGCTTCAAAGAATCTTCGACATGAACCTGTCACTGGGATATTAGGAATCAGCTGGCTGCTTTCTTTGGTGCTGCAAAGCCGCATTCAGATTAAGGTTTTCCACATTCCTAGGATCCATAGATTTAGGGATCATGAGTGTGCAGCCAATGTCAATCTCGTCAACTCTCAAGATAGCCCAGAACCAGCATGCTGTGCTTGCGCTCTGTTGATCTGATGTACGCTCATGAGTCATGAAGCTAGGCAATCTTCAGATGGAAGATTGTAAAACAGATGTCATATCTTCTAGAAGCAATTAAACCATGGGGGTCCACTTGGCTGGAAAAATAACCCTGCATATGCGACCAAGACCAACAGAATGTTTTATAGTTACATACCATCGTACAACAATTTTCATAACGTGCAAAGGAAGAACAGTTAAGGAAATCACGATACATCTATCAATCTAGTATATACCTACTAAATTGAAGGCAAGGTGCCGACAGTAGATAGAGCACCACTCTGAATCAAGCCCAGAAATTATAACAGTTATCTCTATGGTGTACAGATGAATAAATTACGGAAGAGAGATTGCTTGCGTAAGATCCATTCTATTGCCTTGTACTTCCTCCGTCCGGAAATACTTGTCATCGAAATGAATAAAAACGGATGTATCTAGATGTATTTTAGTTCTAGATACATTCCTTTTTGTCAATTTTAATGACAAGTATTTTCGGACGGAGGGAGTATATCTGAGGGTAGTTTTGTTTTGTAATGAGCACGGTTAAGAGTGACATGTGCCACTTGCAAATAATGATACCAAGAAGCAACAGTTCCACACTCTAATACAATCCTGATAAAGAAAGCTAAGTAATTCTGGTGTAGGCATCATCCATTTGATACTACACTCTGAAATAGATCACAACACTGGCTCGTTGGATACAAATGCTAGATCACAACACTGGCTCATTTGATCTCTCGGTCGTAGCCGGCTCCGAGACGATGCCCCCAAGAAGGAGAAAGACGCTAAGACGCCTCCATCGCCCGATCCAGCGGATCTGAGGTTTCCCTCCGGAGCCAAAGCCATGGGTAGAAGGAGGAGCACCTCCACGACGACGCATCCAAGAAAGATCGCGGCACCCTCGGGCGCCGCCGTTGTCGGCTCCGGTGAAGACCGGAGCAAGGATTTCTCCCGGAGATGTGCCGGCCACCTGCCACCACCGACCGCCGCCCACTAACCACCACCTCTGCCGAGACCGACCTCACTCTGGCCACGGGATCCCACGATCCACCGCGGCCAGACACGCACCACCCCCTAGCCGAAGCCGCCACCACCGAACCCGGGGCCGCCGCCCCGGCAACACCGTCAGCCACCATCTTGGACTAGCGCCATCCACGAGTCCCCACAGCCGGAAACTCAGTCAGGGGATGAGCTGCAGCTACGGCCCCGTCAACAGGGTCACGACGCCCGTGGACGCCGCCATCGTCACCCCGATCGCAGTCAGGCATGGTATTCACCCGCAGCGACACCCCACCATCGAAGGCCGGCTGGACCAGCTGGCATACCACGGCCACTGCTTCGCCCGCGTGAACACCGCAATCGTCGTCACCCACCACCGTCCCGAGGCCGCTGCCCCGAGATCCAGCCTCCATCGCCCGTCGAGCAGCGCCCGACTGGGCACCACGACCAGCCGAGCCGAGCACGCCCAGCCACGGCCAGCCACCACCCTCCCGTAGCATCACCGCCTGGAGCAGCGGAGCAGCGCCGCCCCCGCTCTCGAGAACGGCGACCGAGGGGTCCCGCCGCCACCGCGCCGCTAGGGCTTTGCCCGGCGACGCCTCCGGCGGCGGCGAGAGGAGAGGGAGGCGCAGGGGGCCTGCTCAAGCCCGCAGGGGCGCCCCGGTGCGGCCGCACGGTAGCGGGACAGGAAGAGGGGGAGGGCCCGACTCGAACTCCTCCGCGGGGGGAAAGCCGGCAAAGAAGGCGCCGGGCTTCGAGATGGATGGAGAGGACGCCGGGAGGGTCCCGGATCTGTGCTTGGCTGGGCCGGAGGTGGCCGGAGGAGGGAGATCAGCTGGCGGCGGCGGCGGTCCCTGCGCGAGCGGGAGCGCGGGTCTTTGTGTGTGCTCCGCCGACGCTGGGCCTTTTTAACATCAACAGGTTTGTGTCTTACTGAAACAACAGGTCATTGAAAGTTGAGCAATCACACACCTTTAAGGTTCATCTCCAATAAAAGCAATTCTTACGCTCAGGAGCCTTTCAATAGCCCTGCATTGGCAAGTAAAATAACTAGAGCGTTAACAACACAGCAAAATGACACGTAGCAAAAACTTAATCTACAGATGAGTGGATGTATGAAAGGTTTAAGTATGGTCAGCTTGAAATGCTTACTTTGTTTCAGAAAAAACAGACCATGGCAACTACAACCAATCTTTTTGAAAAATAGAAGTTAAACTACAAACATGGTTCAAATCCTTAATTTTCCCTTGGCGAAAATCATAGACACAAGTATCAAATTTTACTCTGCGTCACTGACCTTCAATGATATCTTTCTCCAGATGAACACCAGAGATGGTGGAAACCAATTCAAGTACAGATTATGTGTAATCTGCCCCAAAAAGCTAGCAGATTATGTGCAGCATTTCGAGCAAACAAATATACTAGGGGGAGTAATTAAGAACCTGCAGTCTCTGCCGATATTCAGACCATGTATTCAGAGTATGGATGTATATGACACCAACTATTTGGTGACTATATTCACAAGCACTCAGTTTTAGCCAAACTAAAGAAGAGCTAGCTCAAACATAGAAGCAAGAAATAACGACCACTCCAAATATAAGCCCTTTTGGAAATTCCAATATAGACTACATACGGAGCAAAATGAGTAAATCTACACTCTAAAATATGTCTATATACATCCGTATGTAGTCCGTACTGAAATTTCTATGAAGGCTTATATTTAGAAATGAAGGAAGTAGCTGCTAGTGAAACTCCTGGTGGTGCTTGGCACACAGAATTATCCATAGGACCAAAACAGAATAATGAACTAAAAATCTTAAGCTGACATGCACACTATACACATATTTTATGGCCATGGCGCAGAGCATGAAAATCCACAGTAAACACAGTACAAATTAGTTCTTCTTTGTCTGGATAACATCACTAGCAGCAAGTTGATACAATGGCTCCAAATCGATACAATTAAAGAAGAACTCACTTCCAGACACTTCCTTTAGTTGAATGAATAGTTAGTTGAAGCAAAAAAAAAAGGGTCGCTATGAATCTGTGTATGAACAAACCAAAATGATATTTGTATATCAAATCATAATTGAAAAAAAGATTAAACTAAAGCCAGGTGAATTAACCTTGGGCCCTAAATAGGAAATGCTAACACCACAAGGCAACACCCCCTCCAGCTGCTTCCCAAAAGACTATTACCTAAATTTTGGACATGCAACAGATTGCTCCTCCAATTATCCACTATGAATTACAAAAACATCAGGAGTGCATTAACCACATGAAGGAGACTTACCTTGGCTCATTGTCTCAATGCACCAGCAACTAACTTGAAAATTGAAATCCTAATGCGTTGCAGAATGGCCTGATCTCACACTTACTTAGTTCCAATACTAGTGTTTAAAAACATGAAGGGGGACAAAAAAAGTTCATAATCAATCCATGGTTTCTTCTCTGCTGAATGATGGCATTATATAACAATATTCAGGAACCAAATTATCAGTTTAATCACACATTAGCAACAACCCAGCATCTAGGAGACATACAGCAGCAGACAAGCAGCTCATAGTTATAGCCTGTTATTGGCTCATGTGAATCTGAAATTAGTCGGCACTTCTCCTTTACAGGCGGCATCATAGTCCTCTTCGAGGTGTGGTGCAGCTTCCTTGTGAGGGCATATAAAATTCTCCCTGAATACCTTCTCAGTCTCCTTGAAAACAGTACAGTAGCTCGGGTCGCGCTTGAGCAATCCATTTTCCTTGAGAAACTTTACAGCGTAGTACCGGGGCCTGAGCCGGGCCTCTAGGCTGTAACCGAGTAATACCGACTGCTGAGCAATGTAGGACGGTTCCAAGCCCACCTCGGAGATGAAGAACTCAGACCTACGCTGCAGCGATTCCTTTGACCTTGTCAGCATCAATGGAGCCCTAGAAACAGCAATGCCCACCTCAGCATCGGTCCACGTGAAGGTGCTCTTCAGGTACTCCACTCTGGCTGTAATCTCCGCCTCGCTCATGAACGCAACGGCATGCAGCGCGTGCCTGAACATCCCAGAACCACGGGGCACACCTATGTTTTCGGCGCATGCCACCATCGCCTGGAGATGCTGCAGGTTGGCGGTGATCATCCTCGGTCTTTGGATGCACAGCTTGGCAATATCGCAAGCACCTAACCCGCACTCACGCAGGAAGACGACATTGGGCTTGACCACCCTCTCGAGGCTGTGCGAGAGGAAATCGCAGAACTTCATGGCCCGTAGGAGGTTCTCCGAGGAGCCGAAAAGGTGCAGGTAGTACTGCAGCTTGGAGACTGTGTCTTCTTTGCGGAATCTGTGGACGGCGAGCGAGGCAAGGCGCGCAATGTCGGAGCGCGATAGCCCGAGGTCAGAGAGCCCGACGACGACGGGCGCCAGGGTTCTCTCCACGTTGGCGCAGAGTGACCTGGGGTCCCTGGCGACGACCGCGGCGACATCGGCGGCGGAGAGGCCGAGGCCGGCGAGGAAGGCGAGCACGGCGTCGGGGTTGGCGGGGGACTTGAGGCGGGGGAGCTTGGCGGAGGCCTTGACGGCCTGTGGTCGGGTGAGGCCGCAGGCGGCGACGAGGTAGTCCTCGACGGCGAAGCTAGGGTTTGGGGAAACGGCTAGCGGGGCCGCGGAGAGGAGGCGGTGAGGGCGGAATGGAGTGGGCGGTGCGGAGGGCGAGGAGAGGAGGCGGATCATGGCGGCGCGGCGGCGTGGTCCGGCGGCGAGGGAAAGGGGAACGAGCGACAGCCGGCTGGTAGAGAGAGTGGCGTCTGTTTTTTTTTATTCTTTCTTTTTTGAGAAACTTTTATTCTTTTTTTTTTGAGGCTCGACCCCGCACATCTGATAATGGGCTGTGCTGGGCTGGGCTCGTTTTTCATTGTTACTCAAGCCGAGCCCCACTCCACTCCACCGCCGCCGGCCGCCGGCCACCAACCACCGCCCCGTCTCCCTCACACCTCGCCGCCGGCCTACTCCTACACCCCCTGTCCCTCCCCCTCCCCACACAGGGATCTCCCCGGTGGCCACCTTCGGCGAGCGCAGCGGCGGGCTGCCGAAGGAGGCGCAGGAGCTCGCCGTGCTCTGCGAGGCGGACAGCGCCGGCAGGCAGATGGACTGCTGCAGCCCCCACGCAAGGTCCGTCCGTCCCTTCGTCGATCTTCTTCTCCCAATCTCAATATCTCATGGCCCGTGCGTCTCGACTCATCCCGGTTGTAAACTGATTGTAGGATGTTCTGTCGCGCCTAGTTTGGATTTCATCCCGTGTTCACTTTTCGATCGTTCTCTTCTTAGTGATTCATTCTGGGGAAGCCAAATTCTGCATTATATATGTTTAGATAGACTTACTGAAGTCACTTGAAAGTCATCTCTAATGCCAAACGATCTGCTGTGCTGAAGCAATTGATTTGTGTGGAATACAAGATGAGAACCAACTTTAATTTGGCTACGGTAAGTATCAGGATGCTCTCATTGTGTTTCTTTCATGTTGAAGTTGGTCAGACAATGCTCTTAGGCTGCGTTCGGTTTCTCTCGACTCCTTTAACTCCGCTCCCGGAGCGGACCCGACTTTAGCTTACTTTGACAGAGCTGCCAAAACCCAGCTCCCCAACTTCGCGGAGCGGGGAAGTTCCGAACAGGGCCTTAATTTAGCTCTGGTTTTAATCCCGTCGCATCTTCAGATTAGGATTCACGGTCAGATTCAGTCATTCAGAAGTTTCTGTATATACCCACCTAGATTGTTCACGACTAAATTTGACCTGTGACTGATAATTCATTAGCCATTGTTTGGTTCTTAATGCAAGCACAGCCTGTTGACGTTCAACAACTATTTGCCGCCTGCATTCCATTTACGCATGCATAATTGTACCATAGCTTAAAACAATGCCCGATGACTGAAACCTGTGGACCATGCATAAACAGGTTTACTCGCATATATGCACTGTACAAGAGCACTAGTATATAGTGGTGACATACTGACATACTCCACCTGTCATTTTTAAAGCTGGTGCAAGCTGATCCAGCGCTACGAGAGCATCACTAATGACCAGTTCCAGGGGATAAATCATGATGATGATCAGTTTAATAAACAAACACGTCTATTCATCTACTAGCTGATCTATATGATTCTTGCACACTAATGACCATATTTGATATGGCCCCCAATAGGGCCCCCGGGCCTGACAACATCCCTGCTGAGTTCTATCAGGTATGCTGAGATATAGTTAAAGACGACATTATGGCCATGTTTAAAGCTTTCCACCAAGGAACGCTGGATGTTCAAAGGTTGAATTATGGAGTGATCACCCTACTCCCTAAAGTCTCTGGGGCTGAGAAGATTCAGCAGTATAGGCCTATATGCTTATTGAGATGCCCATACAAGTTAATCACGAAAGTCCTCGACCGAAGAGTTGCTGTATATGCAAACAAACTCATTAGCCCTACTCAAAACGCCTTTGTAAAGGGGAGAAACATCATGGATGGAGTCCTGTCCCTTCATGAGCTTCTTAATTACACATACGTTAAGAAGAGAGTGGGGATTGTCCTTAAATTGGACATTGAAAAAGCTTATGACAAGGTGAATTGGGACTTTCTCCTGAAGTGTCACAAGATGCGAGGCTTTGATGATACATGGTGCAGATGGATTGAGCAGATCCTGCATAATGGGACAGTCAGCATTAAGCTTAACGGTAGTGTTGGGCCGTATTTTCAAAGCAAAAAGGGTGTGAGGCAGGGGGGCCCGCACTCTCCTTTTTTGTTCAATCTAGCTGTTGAATGTCTCACTAAAATGATTAAAAATGCCCAGAAAAACAAACTGATTGTAGGCTTAGCTGCCGACCTGATTCCTGATGGGGTGGCGATCCTACAATATGCGGATGATACAATCATTTGTATTGAAGATGATGTGGATAAGGCTGTCAACCTGAAGTTGTTGCTGTATATGTTCGAAATGATGTCTGGTCTGAAAGTTAACTTTCAGAAAAGTGAGATCCTCACTGTGGGGGGAGATGAAAATGTGGTGAATAAATATGCAGAAATCTTCAACTGTGAGGTTGGCAGCTTCCCACTCAAGTATTTGGGGATGCCTGTGAGTTATGCCAATCTAAAAACCTCGGATTGGGAGTTTATTGTTGATAAATACCTAAAGAGGTTTGATGCCTGGATCGGAAACACTGCCTCAATGGGCGGGAGACACACTCTGCTTGACTCTGTTGTCACTCAGATTTCTCTCTACCATATGTCTATGTGGCTTATGAACAAGACTTTCATCGAGAGACTAGATAAACACAGACGCAGGTTCTTTTGGCAAGGGTGCAACAAAAAAAGAAGATATTATCTTGTTAAGTGGAGCAAGATTTGTAGATCCAAAGACAAAGGGGGTTTGGGCATTAAAGACCTTAGAAAACAAAATATCAGTCTCATGGTTAAATGGTGGTGGAAATTAGAGACACAAAACGGGCTCTGGCAGGATATAGTCCGGGCTAGGTATCTTCGCAACATCTCTGTTGCTGAAGTTTCTCCCAAATTCTCCGACTCGCCCTGTTGGAAGGCCTTGCTCAAAATCAAGATCCGATTAATGGGCTGACCCCATTTCAGGATCAATACCCACGTTTGTTTGAGATATGCAACTACCCAACGAGTACCTTGAATAGAAAAGATAGACTTGATGACATCGATATGTTCAGACGTAGGCTTACCCCTGAGCTGTCCAAGCAATGGGAGGATATGCGTGCTGCGGTTAATGGAATCCACCTTGATGGGAGGAGTGATCGTGTCTTTTGGGGACTCAATTAGAATGGCAAGTTCACCACTAAACCGGTGTATAAGATGTTGGAGGAGCCTCTTAGTGGATGCCACTATAAATGGATTTGGAAAGCCAAAATCCCTCTTAAAATCAAAATCTTCCTATGGCAGATGTCGCAAAACGCAATTCTCACTAGGCAAGTTATGAGAAAAAAGAAATGGCCGGGGAATCCCTGTTGCTCTTTCTGCAAACAGGTTGAAACGGTACAACACCTGTTCTTCAATTGTCCCGTGGCGAGAATTGTCTGGCGATCGATTGGGGTTGCTCTTGGTATTGATAGATGTCCGTCGAATTACTGGCAATACTTTGTGTGGTGCAATAAATTCCTTCCTGGGAAGCAAAAGTTTTACATAGTAGGTCTAGCGGCTGTGTGTTGGGCCATTTGGTTGGCACGCAACCGAGCTACCTTTGAAAAAAAAACATATCAAGACTCCTTTTGAGATTGTGTTTTCTCTGTGTTCCTTTCTGCTTTACTGGACAGGGCTACAACAAGGAGAGGACGCCAAAGAGCTTCGTTCTGGAGCTGAGATGATCAGGACTGGCACGATGCAGCTGATGAAGATGTGTGGCGCTGTCAAGCAACCAATCCAGGGTGCTTGACGTCTCTCTGAAGATGCGTTGGACTAAAGGAAGACGGGCGCGCGACCTCGATGTTGTTCTTACCATCCGTCTACTTGACTTTGCAGCTGTGTTCTGATACTTGATTCTGAGCTTTTGAGATTGTAATAGGATAGATGTTATGTCGTGCTATCCAGGTTTTCGCCCCATGATACTCGTTTCGACGGCGAGCGAGTATGGTGGGTTTCCTGGTAGTGCTGGAACTCGCTTTACTTCTTTCCCTTCCCCTGTCCTTCTCGTTTGAACTGGTTGTATTTCCGTTCTTTGCAATGGAAAGGGGTAAAGCCCGGTTCTAAAAAAAATATGATTCTTGCACACAACAGTTGTTGGCGGATATAGCAAGCTTGAGGCGTGAGCATGACCATCTCGAGGCCATTGTGTGGAGGCAGACCGAAAAAGATCTGCCATCCGCCGTAGGCACGGCAGAGCCTGGCCATCTGGAGAAGAAGCTAGAGTGCGTGCGGGGTAAAGAGTGTGTTTGGTTGGAGTTCATGCCGTTGCAAGCCTGGCCTAGGATGTGCCTGGTTCCTGCCTGGCTGTCGTTTGGTTGGTACCCTGGTAGAAAAGAGCAGTGCCTGGCCTGGCGTGCCTTGCACCATAGTTAGCCTGGCCCGATTAAAAAAGTCCAATAAAATAATATTTTCCAACCCAGGCAGTGTGATCAGCCTGGCCCAGGCTTCCCGTTTTCGATGCCTAGCTGTGTGCCTGAAGCTAATCAAGGGATGTTGGCAGCATTAGGAACATTTTAACCACTAAAAGACAAAGCAACAGGCGAGGAGGGGAACCAAACAAGTACGCGCCAGGCTAGCCT